AATTTCCTGTTGAAAGTAAAGAACTTCATAGAAAGACTGGGATTTAACTGGAGTTGAAATCCTAAACGTTAGGGTTTTGGGTTGGATTTTTTTTTTTTTTTTGGAATATGGACTCCAGTCTGATCAGCAGGCAGTAAGAAAAAGCACTGTAATACTAATCGTACATAAAAAGAAGTCACTAGGGAGTGATTCCAGTACCTAAAAATAGTTGTTCAGTGCCATTTCATATGTCCTAGGGTATCCTGCCCAGCCCTGAGCAGCGACTCCAGGAGATACAAGTCTTCAGTTTGTCTGTAACCCGCTAGTCCTGTGAGGATGTCTTGGACACCCTTGAGCACCCTACATGTCAGAAGACACCAACATTCAAGCACCTGAATTGTTTCCTTGATATCTGATTCAAGACCACTTGAAAGTATAAATATACATGTATTAAAAAAAAGTGTAAAAAAGTTTTCATTGTGTAGCTCACTGATCAGGAGATCACTTAAAGGATAATTTAAAAGAATGGTTATCCTAACACAATGTAATAATACTGAAGAAATTACAGTAGAAATAATTCCCAGATCAACTAAATACATCCTAGATGACCTCAGGAAAAAAATTACAGTCTTTCTGTGCCTCAGCTCCCAGTCCATAAAATGGTGACAGTTAAACTACTTTTCTCCCTGTCTTTATGCAGGTTATGATAAGTTTATGAATTTTCTGTGTCCCTCACACATATTGTCTAGTAAACAGAGTTTCACCTTTCATCAGTATTTCTAGATCTCTTCAATACAAATAATATTACTATCAATCAGAAGCAGCTTTTCAGAGAAAATTTCTGCAAAATCTTAAATGGCCATACCTTTTTTATTGAGTGGTCGTTTTCGTACACAAACACATATCCTGTGCTCATCAATCTACAAAGGAAACAATCTTTCAGAGAACTATACCCCAATTCCAGTTATATGATGTTTTACTTCTATTCTAGAATCAATTAACCAATCATTTAAACAAAGATAAATTTCCAAGACAGTGAGTCATCTGAATGTGTAAATGCCCCTTGTGTCTATACAATAACCAAGAACCCAAAAGGGAGAACCATACATTAATAAAACTCCCTGCAGAGTGACCTGATCCTGCAGAGTACCAGGTACCAGGAACACTGCAAGCAAATCCAGCTGTAACGGTCGATATGCTATTGACAGAAATTGTCACAATCTCTTTGATCATGCCCTGGTAGAATTCTCAATCTTGAGGGGTACAGGACAGATAAAAAGTAGAGTCAGGATCCTAAACCTCAGAAAGGCAAACTTTCAGCTGTTTAGGGCACTAGTGCGTGGGATCCCTTGGGAAACTGCCCTCGGAGATAAAGGAGCAAATGAGAGCTGGGAGATATTTAACAGACATTTTTCTTAGGGCGCAAGAGCTCTCAATCCCAATGTGCAAGAAGTCGGGCAAGGGAAGGCAGGAGGCCACCTTGACTAAGCCAAGACCACTTAGCCAAACTAAAACACAAAACCAAAATGCACAGGCAGTGGAGGCAGGGATACACATCCTGGGGAGATTATAGGGAAATGGTCTGGGAATGCAGGGAGGGGATCAGGAAAGCCAAGGCACAGCTGGAGCTGAACTTGGTTAGGAATGTGAAAAGTAACAAGGGTTTCTTCAGGCACATAGGACAACAAAGGAAGATGAAAGAAACTGTACACACACACACACACCCCCAATGAGCAAAACAGGAGACTTGGCTACAACCAACATGGAGAAGGCTGAGGTACTCAACGAGACCATGGGACCTGATGAGATGCCTCTGAGGATCCTGAGGGAACTGGCAGATGAACTTGCTAAGCCACTAGCCATCGCATTTAAGAAGTTGTGGCAGACTGGTGAAGTTCCCAGTGACTGTAAAAGGGAAAACATAGCCCCCATTTTTAAAAAAGGGAAAAAAGGAAGACCCGGGGAACTACAGGCCAGTCAGTCTCACCTCTGTGCCCGGCAAGATCATGGAGCAGATCCTCCTGGAAACTCTGCTAAGGCACATGGAAAACAGAGAGGTGATTGGTGGCAGCCAGTATGGCTTCAACAAGGGCAAATTGTGCCTGACAAACTTGGTAGCCTTTTATGCATCCCTACAAAGAAGAAGGCAGGCAGAAAAGCCAGGAGGCTTGCATGGATGAACAAGGAGCTCCTGGACATAACCAAAGGAAAAAAGGAGGCCTATAGGGAGTGGAAACAGGGGCAGGTAGCCTGGGAGGAATACAGAGGAATCGTTCGGGCAGCCAGGGATCGAGTCAGACAAGCTAAAGCCCAGACAGAACTCAATCTGGCCAGGGACATTAAGACAAACAAAAAATCCTTCTTTAAGTATGTCAGAGTGAAAAGAAGGACTAGGGAAAATGTGGGCCCTCTCCGGAAGGAAACGCAAGAACTGGTTACCCAGGACAGAGACAGAGCTGAGGTCCTCAATGACTTTTTTGCCTCAGTCTTCACCGGCAAGGACTGCAGCCGCACTGCCCATGATGCAGAATGCAAAGGCGAGGATTGGGAAAATGAAGAACCGCCCACTGTAAGTGAGGATCAAGTATGAGACCACCTGAGGAACCTGAAGGTGCACAAGTCCATGGGACCTGATGAGATGCATCCATTTTTTCCTGCTGAAAGTAAAGAACTTCATAGAAAGACTGGGATTTAACTGGAGTTGAAATCCTAAACGTTAGGGTTTTGGGTTGGATTTTTTTTTTTTTTTTGGAATATGGACTCCAGTCTGATCAGCAGGCAGTAAGAAAAAGCACTGTAATACTAATCGTACATAAAAAGAAGTCACTAGGGAGTGATTCCAGTACCTAAAAATAGTTGTTCAGTGCCATTTCATATGTCCTAGGGTATCCTGCCCAGCCCTGAGCAGCGACTCCAGGAGATACAAGTCTTCAGTTTGTCTGTAACCCGCTAGTCCTGTGAGGATGTCTTGGACACCCTTGAGCACCCTACATGTCAGAAGACACCAACATTCAAGCACCTGAATTGTTTCCTTGATATCTGATTCAAGACCACTTGAAAGTATAAATATACATGTATTAAAAAAAAGTGTAAAAAAGTTTTCATTGTGTAGCTCACTGATCAGGAGATCACTTAAAGGATAATTTAAAAGAATGGTTATCCTAACACAATGTAATAATACTGAAGAAATTACAGTAGAAATAATTCCCAGATCAACTAAATACATCCTAGATGACCTCAGGAAAAAAATTACAGTCTTTCTGTGCCTCAGCTCCCAGTCCATAAAATGGTGACAGTTAAACTACTTTTCTCCCTGTCTTTATGCAGGTTATGATAAGTTTATGAATTTTCTGTGTCCCTCACACATATTGTCTAGTAAACAGAGTTTCACCTTTCATCAGTATTTCTAGATCTCTTCAATACAAATAATATTACTATCAATCAGAAGCAGCTTTTCAGAGAAAATTTCTGCAAAATCTTAAATGGCCATACCTTTTTTATTGAGTGGTCGTTTTCGTACACAAACACATATCCTGTGCTCATCAATCTACAAAGGAAACAATCTTTCAGAGAACTATACCCCAATTCCAGTTATATGATGTTTTACTTCTATTCTAGAATCAATTAACCAATCATTTAAACAAAGATAAATTTCCAAGACAGTGAGTCATCTGAATGTGTAAATGCCCCTTGTGTCTATACAATAACCAAGAACCCAAAAGGGAGAACCATACATTAATAAAACTCCCTGCAGAGTGACCTGATCCTGCAGAGTACCAGGTACCAGGAACACTGCAAGCAAATCCAGCTGTAACGGTCGATATGCTATTGACAGAAATTGTCACAATCTCTTTGATCATGCCCTGGTAGAATTCTCAATCTTGAGGGGTACAGGACAGATAAAAAGTAGAGTCAGGATCCTAAACCTCAGAAAGGCAAACTTTCAGCTGTTTAGGGCACTAGTGCGTGGGATCCCTTGGGAAACTGCCCTCGGAGATAAAGGAGCAAATGAGAGCTGGGAGATATTTAACAGACATTTTTCTTAGGGCGCAAGAGCTCTCAATCCCAATGTGCAAGAAGTCGGGCAAGGGAAGGCAGGAGGCCACCTTGACTAAGCCAAGACCACTTAGCCAAACTAAAACACAAAACCAAAATGCACAGGCAGTGGAGGCAGGGATACACATCCTGGGGAGATTATAGGGAAATGGTCTGGGAATGCAGGGAGGGGATCAGGAAAGCCAAGGCACAGCTGGAGCTGAACTTGGTTAGGAATGTGAAAAGTAACAAGGGTTTCTTCAGGCACATAGGACAACAAAGGAAGATGAAAGAAACTGTACACACACACACACACCCCCAATGAGCAAAACAGGAGACTTGGCTACAACCAACATGGAGAAGGCTGAGGTACTCAACGAGACCATGGGACCTGATGAGATGCCTCTGAGGATCCTGAGGGAACTGGCAGATGAACTTGCTAAGCCACTAGCCATCGCATTTAAGAAGTTGTGGCAGACTGGTGAAGTTCCCAGTGACTGTAAAAGGGAAAACATAGCCCCCATTTTTAAAAAAGGGAAAAAAGGAAGACCCGGGGAACTACAGGCCAGTCAGTCTCACCTCTGTGCCCGGCAAGATCATGGAGCAGATCCTCCTGGAAACTCTGCTAAGGCACATGGAAAACAGAGAGGTGATTGGTGGC